ATTCTGGATGCTGCTCCTTATTTCATCATCTTTATTCAGATCCACTGTATCTCTTCTGCCTTAATCTGTCTCCTGAGCTCAGTTCCATTTTGTGAACCACCTACTGGATATTTTGAACTGGATAGCCTGCAGACATCTCAGATTTAATATGTCTGAAAGAAAACATTATCTACCTTTTGCAATTCACTCTTATTCTGAACTTTCCTACTTATGCTGAGGGTACTACCGTCTTTCTAGTCATCCAAGTTTGCAACCTTGACTCCTTACTTTCCTTTACCCATAAATACAGTTAGTTGTTAAATCTTGTTTCTAACTGTACAACATCTTTTTCATCCATCCTCTTCTCTTCAGTTGTACAGTTTTGTGTGGGACAACTGAAAGTTTCTCATATGAAATGGAAGCTATGCCCCAAAATTTAGTTAAGGCTTTAGCATTAGCAGGGCCTAAGTTTCATTTTCCTGTAAATCATGTGATCGGGTCATACACCTGTTGCCCATCCCTTCTCTTGTTTTGTAACCACCACCCCAGCCTCATCTTTGCCAAATAAGGCAATCTTCTAGCTTCCAAGCTTGTTTTGGGTAAAATGTACCTCTTAGTTTCTGGGTAGAATATAAGGTCTCTTACCTCAACCAATGGGGATAAAGAGATTCAGGTTAAAAGGTGGGAGGGTGGGGCTTATCTTAGAATTGTTTGTTCTAGGGGTATATAACTGCTTGCTCGCTGCTTGTATCCTGCCTCCCTACACCAGTCTGCCCTGGGTAGGTGATGCCCAATTCTCACGTGAGACTTGCTAAATAAAACTTCCGTTTCCACCTAGAGAAACCTCTGAATTTTTATTTGGGTAGGTGGTCTCAATCCCACTCAGTTTCAATCTCAGTTCGGGTCTTCATCGTGTCTTACCTAGATTCTTGTAGTAGTCTGCTAACTGATCTTACATATAACTGCCAAAGTGATTTTTCCTAAAGCACAGGTCTGACTGTGCAACTCCCCCCAAAACTCACCCCTGCAACCAAGTCAGCAAACTCCAGTGGGTCTCCATCATCTCCGGGACCATTTGGCATTGAAAGCTCTCTTCACCTCTCTAGCCTTGTTAGTCCCCTCTTTCCACACACTCTAAGGTGAAGCCACATTGACTTTGTTATTCCTTAAGTACAACATTCCAACTCCATCTCTCTGCATTCACATTGGCTGCCTCTCATTTCTAGAATGTTCTCTCCCCTCATATCCACCTCCTGGAATCCCTGGCTTCCTTCAAGATTCAGTTCAAGTTTCACCTTCGGTACAAGCACGGTCTTGCCTGGTTCCTTAGCCGCTACTGCTTTCCCCTCTAGGGTCACTTTGTATTTGCTTTATATATACCTATGTGTGTCTATAACAAGGCATGAGCTGAACTGTCCTACCTGCTTCTGACCAACTACCCACTTGTGCTAGCTCAGTGCTTGGATTCTTTGGAAGTGGCAAAGCCTCTGGTGGATTCTGTGGGTATAACTCAGTGCCAAGACTCTAGGGCTTTGGAAAGGCTGACAAGCAATCCCCTTATTAGCCACTGAAAAGGAAGAGTCAATGACAACAGATCTTTAAAAAGGAGTGATACCATTCCTATTGCTCTTCTTTCTTCAAAGCTCCAGGTGGCTTATCAGGAGTGGGGGTGGGGAATGACTGTCCTTCCTCTCAACTCAGCTGCACTGAAATTAATCTCATGAGGTAGCTAGAATAGGTTCATAGTAGATGAATTGAGTCCAGTCCTTGGGAGCCTTGGCTGCCTTTTTTTCTTTGTTTTTCCTTCCCTGAGCATAGGTTACTAAACAACAACCTTAAGATGGATGTATCCAGTCATGGAAGTGTCAGGACCCCCACACCAAGACCACTCCTCTCTCTTTTCTTTAAGGAGATATTCTTTTTGTATTATTATTTTGATTAAATACTCTCTCTTTTCTTACTATTAGGAGACACCTTGTTTTCCATAGCTAAGGCCCAGCAAGTAAGTTGTGCCCTGCACTTGGCATAAAAATAGTCCTTTGTATTCAACCCCTGCGTTAACTCTGCTACAGCTAAATCACAGAATTGGCTTAAACCAGCCCCAGGTGGTTCTTGAATCAGACAAGTGAAGAGGTCTAGGACTTTTGGGGTTCTGTGGGGAACCCCAAGATCTCGGTACCTGGCCCTGCCTGAATGAATTCAACTCAAATCTTTTTCCAGCCAGAGGAAAAGTTTATTAGTGATAAATCAGATCGGCCAGGTGACGCCCATGAGGACAAGCGGGCATGAGAAAGTCTCAGCCTTTTGGGCTTGAGATTCTCAGCGTCTGAATGGGGGCCAGGGTGGAATTTTTATACCCTGAAGTAACTTTGAGTGGACAGAGAAGGGGGCTGGGAAAAGGGTCTAGGTGAGAATTCCAATTGGAGGGTCTGAGAGATTGAACAGACAATGGGAATAGCTAATGGAGGGAACAGGAAGGCAGAAGTTTGAAAGGCATCTGCACAAGATCAAAGGGTAGAGCTAGGCCTTTCAAAGGGAGATAAGGGGAGTCGATAAGGAATCGTTGGAGACCAAAGTAAGGCCTTTCTGGGGCCCATAGACAAAAGGGAGCCAGATTCTTTTAGGGCGAGGGGCAAAGGTGCATCTGAATAAGATTAAAAGGTAAGGCTAAGGTTTTCAAAGGGAAATGAAGGGCTGGGGACTGTAGACAAATGGGAATCAGATTCCCTTTGGGTCAAGTGGCCAAGATCTAGGTTTGGGCCACACCCCATCACAAGCATCTTTGGGAACCACATTCTGGTCACAAAGCCCTGTTATGAATAGACTTTTTGTCAGTAAGCAAACTTGCCTCATTGTTTTTACCTCACTGCTGTGGTTATACCTCACTGCTTGATTCTTTGTCTAGCCACAACTATATGTATCAAGCCTTAGACTTAATGCCTTGGGTCTCGATCCTAGAGCAGAACCTGGTACATGTGTCTAGTTTCCCTCCTCTAACAGAATAAAGAAAGCTTTTTGCTTATAACCTCTGTGAGCAATTTGGTATTTTACTTTATCTTATTTTTTCAGAGAGTTAGTACACAACCTCTGTGAGCTCTTTAGTATTTTCTTTCTTTTTTGTTTTTTGGGTTTTTTTTTTAGGCAATTGGGATTGTGACTTGCCCAGGGTCACACAGCTAGTAAGTGTCAAGTGTTTGGTCTGAGGCCGGATTTGAACTCAGGTCCTCCTGACTTCATGGCCCGTGCTCTATCCACTGCGCCACCTACCTGCCCCAGCTCTTTAGTATTTTCAACCTGAACAGTTGGTATATAACCCCTGTGGCTCTTTGGTCATTTATTTTTCAGCGTTAACAGAAGAAATCTTATGAGTTCAATTGGTCCTCAGTTGGAGCTTACTGATGGTAGAAGGTGTTTCTGCATCAGAGAAGACATTGCTAACAGAGGAAAGAGCTCAGGTCTTGGCTTGGCTTTCCAGAAGACATAGACCTAGAGGTGATTGTTTGGACATTGTAAAGCTGAGGTGAAATATACTACTACCTATTCAACAGTCCTGTAAAACTGCTCTATGTTCTGATGTTTAAGTCCCAATCTCCTGTCATAACTGTAGTTAACTTTCTGGTTAAGTTTCTGTCACTGGGAGCTTTGGAGAACCTTTTGTGCTTAGCATTTCTTTTGCATGAAATCAAATAAACTGTGTTTTGTACCTGATTCATACTGAATATTGAGAAGCTTTCTACAGATCTCTTTGGGGACACTGAGCATGGCACACCTACGCTTTAAGGAACTTTTTCCTGTGGTTAGAATGGGAGTATAAAAGCCAAAGAATGTGGGAAAAAGGAGACTAATCCTTCTGATGTGGTTTAGGGGTTCAGGGAGCTCATAGGATCCCAAAATCACAACATGCGGGTCCTGTCCAACCCAAGCCTTCTTTTGGCCAAAGACAAAGTTTATTAGAACATCTGCCATATTGGGCAGACTCTTAAGGAGTCTGAACATTCTTAAGCTATTGGCTAGATTTTAGGAATCTGCAAAGTGGCTAGATTATAAGAATCCCAGCATCTTAATGTAGACAAGATGGACCTTATATACAGAAAGCCTGTGGGAGGGATCTAGGAGTGGCCAAGTAGTTTAGGGTGATGAAGAGGGGCCTAAGGAGATCAGATGGGAGGGGAAATGGCCGGGGGGCCATTGGGAGATAAGACAATGCAGGGGAGATTGGGTATGGCCATGATGATAGGCCAGTTGATGGGATTATAGCCTCAGGTGAATGCCAAAGATTTGGCCAAGAGGGAAAGTCCCGGGTTTTTCCTTTCTGGGGTCTAGATCCCAACCCCATCACTTCTAGGTGAGTAGGTTCCCTCAGGACAAACCCAGTCTGAACAGTGTGCTTGGATCCTTTCTTAGTGGAGAGGGAAAATGCCCCCTTGGGCCCAGCAGCCCATAATTGTTAATGTACCCGATTATTTCCTCTACATTTGAATGTAAGCTCCTCTAAGCGCTGGGAGATGCACTCTTTTCATTGTAGCCCTAGTGCCTACCACAGTATCTGGCACATGGCAGGCACATAATAAATGCTTGTTGATTCCTGCTTCAATCCTGAAAAGTGTCAAGTCAGTCAGTCAGCTGGCATTTATTAATCAACTGCTCTGTGCCAGATACTGTAATGTTCCTGAGGAAAAAAACAAAAAGAGGAAAGCAAAAACCCCCAAACCAAAAAAAAGGTTAAAAGAGCGCCTCAAAAGTCCATCTATCTGTCACAGCTTGTCCTCTCAGCCTTGCTGTGCAATTTATCTACAATCCTTTCTAAGTCATTCACCTGTCCACCTATTAATCCATCTCTCTAGCGACCTAATCTATCCCACTGTTCCTCTCTCTGCATCCTTAAGGCCTAGGGCTCCCTTCCTGCTCCGCATCTCCTGCCTCTCTCCATTACCCTCTACTAAGAGCTTTGCCAGGCGACACCAGAGCTTCTAGTTTCCATCTACTGCCTTCTTCTGGTCAGGTGATCCTGGAGGCGGAGTCATGTGACTAACATAATGGCCAGTACCTAACCTGGTCCGTTACTGCCGGCTTCAGCCTGGTGAAAGATGGTGGCTTACAAGCTTTGGACCAGCCTCCGAGGGGCGAAGGGGCGGTTATTTCTGCTGCTGCTGCTGCTGCTGTTGCTGGGGCTGCTGCCGGGGCCTCACCACCCCGCGTGGGTGTTCGGCTTTCGACCCCCTCTGAAACGCTTGCTGCACAGGGACCCCTACGTCCTGGATGATGTCCCTGGGCTCGGTCGGGTGTTTGACGGCATCGGCGGGCTGAGCGGTGGCGGGGTAAGCGCCCCCGGGGGCTGCCGAGACGTGGCTGAGCTCGCCTGCCCCGGGAGCTCTCAGCGGCCCGTGGGAGAGGGAGGCGGGCGCGGGGCGAGGGGGCGGGCGGCGACCGAGGAGCGTCTCCCCTGCCCCGTCCTCCCGCCTCCCGCCTCGGTCTGTAGAGTGCTATGTCGAGGCTGCAGGGAGGCTGTCGTGGATGGAGGCGTGCACGCGTCCTTCGCCGCTGTCCCTGAAGCGACCCCGTCCTGCCTCCCGGGCGTGCACGTGCGACAATTAGACTTGGGAACCTCCCTGACCTTGCATTTCCTCAACCTGTAAAATGGGGTAATAATAGCCCCTGCCACCCAGGGTGGTGTTTGTGTGAGGAGATGAGGTAACAGGTATAAAGCACCCTTGCAAACTTTAAAAACAGTATAAATTTGAGCTCAGGCATTTATTAGTAACCTGTGTGCCACACACTTTAGTTATACAAGAAAAGCCTATATAGATAGTCCCTCCACAAGGAGCTCACTGACTAATGGCAAAGGAGAGTGCTGTGAATCCTCTGTCAACAGTCACTAAAGGCATCATATACTAAGTTCTAGAAATACAAAGAGAGGCCATAGATGTTCCCTGCCCTCCTGGGAAGGGGAGGAGAAGGCAATATTCGAATAATTATGTACAATCAAGCTACATACTGAATAAATTGGAGGGAAGGCATTAGTGTCAAGGGAGATATGAGAAAAGCTTGTTGGGAATTGAAGGAAACCAGAGAAGCCAAGAGGCAGAGATGTGGAGAAAGAGAATTTCAGGCATCGGGAAATTCAGTGAAAATGCCTGGATTGGGGGGGACCCAGTGGTACTTTTAAACTTTTTTTTTTTTGCCTTTCTTTGGATCCCCCCGGACTTAGTACAATGTCTGGCGCAGAGTAATTGATTAATAAATGCCAGGAGACTGACTTGACACTTCCAGGATTGCAGCAAGAATCAGGCAGTTAACAAGCATTTATTATGTGCCTGCTCTGTGCTTAGGGCTACTAGGAGAAAAGTACAACTCCTTGCCCTCATGCAGCTTACACTCAAATGTCTACCATTAAGTCTAACAACTTAGAGGCTGCTGGGCCCAAGGCACCATTTTTCCTCTCCTCTAAGGAAGGATCCAAACACGCTGTCCAGACTCCTAGAAAAATACTGTGGTGGGTTATAAGGTCTAGGAAAACTGTAGAGTGGTATGGGGGGTGGGGTGGAAGGGTCAGGTTTGGAAAAACTTCCACCGCCAGAGGATTTTATATTTGATCTTAGGAGGAAGTAGCTGCTTGTCTTCTGAGTAGTAATATGGATTTACAAGTGATGTAACAAATTTGAACAATAATTGTCAGCAGAAGATAATTCATTGCACACATTCATTGTTAATGGGTAGACTGAACCAAAATAATTTTAGAAATGATAGTACCTACTTTTCTTATTCAGTGCCATACAAACCAAACTACAAGAGAATTACCTGATAGAGGTAGAAAATATAATCATGAAATTTATTTGGAGTAACAAGGTCAGGAACCTTTAGGAAAATAATGAAAAAAAGTGGGAGGGCTTCAAAACAGTCACAGTCAAGAAGATGTGATACTGGTAAAGACAGGGGTTGATCAGTGAAATAAACAACATATGGAAGCAAGGGAACACAGTAGCAGATTCACCATGACAAAGCTACTGGAAAAACCTGAAAGCCCTCTGGCTGAAGTTAGGTACAGCCTAACATCTCATACTGTGTACCAAGATAAGCTTCAATTAGATATGGAAGGTGACATTGTAAACAAATTAAAGAAGTTACTCTTCAGATTTATAATAATAGTAATAATTGCTAACATGTATATAGTGTCAGCTGAATCATGGCGATACAAATACAGGCAAAACTAAGTGTATTTCCTGCCTTCAAGTAGCTTGCATTCCAGTGGAGTAAGACAAGCAAGTAGTGTGCTGAGGAATACTGATATGTTTACTAGAGAGAGCTCCTTACTATTTATTTTACACAGTTCTAGTGATTCATATGGGCATAAATTATACTTCTGGAAATGGCAAATACATCAAAGTCTTGAGCAAGAAGTTGAAGACTTTAGAGGCACAAGTCCACTGCTGTGGAAGGGCTTTAGCAGAGAGGGGTAGGTTTGGAAAATGAATGGTTAAAAAGATGGTATCCTAGAATAGGATTTCGATTTCTGACCCACATCTTGACTTAATAAAAATAGCACCTGCTTTCTAGAGTTATGTACCTAGCAAGGGCTGGAAAGAATGTATTTGCCTGAAGTCTTGCAAATCTGTTCAAAAGGGCTTTTAACTTGAAGTGAAAGGGGAGGGAGAAATATGTTGACTTTGTTAGAGTAGCTGCTGAGTAGGAAGATGAATAGCAATAGAGATGCCAAAAAATTCTTGAGAAGCAAAACGTAACAAAAGATTTTAGTGCTGTATCTCTTGGTCTCATTTCTTTTCTCTAATGGACAAAACATTTCTAATAAGCAAGTGGAACTAGAGAGCCTAATGCCAGAAGGCAAATTTGACCAAGAAAAGTTATTAGACAGAATGTTTTTTAAAAGGAAACAAAATCAGTAAAAATGAAATGTACTAGCATTTTGTGTGTGTGTGTGTGTATTTGAAAAAAGTTATTTTGTCTTCCTTTTAAAATTAAATTTTTTCAACAAGTGAAAATCCCACCCTTTCTTCCTCCAGCCTCCTCACCTCTATAGAAAAAGAAAGAACAAAGCCCTTATAAGAAATAAGCATAGTCATGGATAATTATTAGAATCTCCATTTTAAAGAGAGGTTCACACTAGTCACACTTGTTATAGTTCAGTTGTGTCCAACTCTTTGACCTCGTTTGGGGTTTTCTTGGCAAAGATGATGGAGGGATTTGCTATTTCCTTCAGCTCATTTTACAGATGAGGAAACTGAGGCATATTCTATTTTTACTTTGCTGTCTGGTTCCAAGAGTTTCTGGAGAGTTGTGTAATTTCTCATATGACATTTAGGCCCATTTTTGGTCATCGCTTTGTATAGTTTAGAGATTCTTAAATCATCTCTTCTTGATCTGTTTACTAGTCCGTATTTTTATATGAGATATTTTACATTTTCTGCTATTCTTTTCAGTATTTTGATTTTTTTGTTGTTGTCTCATGGAGTTAACTTCTGTTTCATTAATTTTAAGAGAGTTTTTTTCTTGTGTAAGGTATTCTCTTTTCAGTTCTTTCTTTGATAGCTCTCTTTTCCATTTCTTTCCTTTTCCACTCATTTCTTTTTTAAATCTTTCTGTTAGCAATTTAATTTCATTTATAACATGATTAAAAAACAAAACAAAAAAACCACACTTCACTTCTTCCTGGAATTGTAGTTGAAATCATTCCCAAGCTATATTTTTCTTTGATGCTTTGCTTATAGATGCTTTGCAGTCATTTCCTTCTTGGTTTGTGTTTTGACCATTCCTGTCACCATAATCCCTCCTTATGGTGGGATGCTTTTTTTTGTTTCCTCATTTGTTCTAGCCTTTCTACCTGACTTTGGACTTCGTGTTAGGAGCAGACTGTGCTTACTGCTGGTGGAAATATATAGGCTGTGCCTGGCCCTATTTTTTTCAAATACACACACACACACACACACACACACACACACACAAAATGCTAGTACATTTCATTTTTACTGATTTTGTTTCCTTTTAAAAAACATTCTGTCTAATAACTTTTCTTGGTCAAATTTGCCTTCTGGCATTAGGCTCTCTAGTTCCACTTGCTTATTAGAAATGTTTTGTCCATTAGAGAAAAGAAATGAGACCAAGAGATACAGCACTAAAATCTTTTGTTACGTTTTGCTTCTCAAGAATTTTTTGGCATCTCTATTGCTATTCATCTTCCTACTCAGCAGCTACTCTAACAAAGTCAACATATTTCTCCCTCCCCTTTCACTTCAAGTTAAAAGCCCTTTTGAACAGATTTGCAAGACTTCAGGCAAATACATTCTTTCCAGCCCTTGCTAGGTACATAACTCTAGAAAGCAGGTGCTATTTTTATTAAGTCAAGATGTGGGTCAGAAATCGAAATCCTATTCTAGGATACCATCTTTTTAACCATTCATTTTCCAAACCTACCCCTCTCTGCTAAAGCCCTTCCACAGCAGTGGACTTGTGCCTCTAAAGTCTTCAACTTCTTGCTCAAGACTTTGATGTATTTGCCATTTCCAGAAGTATAATTTATGACCATATGAATCACTAGAACTGTGTAAAATAAATAGTAAGGAGCTCTCTCTAGTAAACACATCAGTATTCCTCAGCACACTACTTGCTTGTCTTACTCCACTGGAATGCAAGCTACTTGAAGGCAGGAAATACACTTAGTTTTGCCTGTATTTGTATCGCCATGATTCAGCTGACACTATATACATGTTAGCAATTATTACTATTATTATAAATCTGAAGAGTAACTTCTTTAATTTGTTTACAATGTCACCTTCCATATCTAATTGAAGCTTATCTTGGTACACAGTATGAGATGTTAGGCTGTACCTAACTTCAGCCAGAGGGTCCTGCTTCTGCTTTCTCAGGGCACTGAGTATTATATTATTCAGAGATCTCAGGGACCTGTTCAGGTTGGGGACCTGTAAACTTCCAGTGCGCCCAAACCAGTCTGTTTCAGACTGAGTGCTGCTTTCCTTGTCTGAGCTCTGCAAGTTCCTTACCTGTGTCTGGGTGTGAGCAACACAGCTATAGGCTTGCTGTTGGAATCAACTGTCTGGAATTTTAGTCATCTGGAAAGCTCAGCAGGCATAGAGTGACAGAACTGAAAGCTCCTCATTAGTCTGGGCTTCCTGCCCTAATTTCTAGGAAAAAAAAATTCCCACTTCTGAAAAGATGCTATTTTCTCATTTCGTCATCTTATTTTATAATATACTATCATATAATATTTTAATAAAAGCTATTTTCCTAACTTTTCTTATAGCCATATATAGTAATAACACAATAGCTGTTATAATAATAACAACAATAGTAATAAATTATAATAATAACATATAATAGCTGTTTACTGTTATTCTGCTCCAAGCTTCGGACTGTGTTTGGGACTGGAACCAAGGCCTTGTTCCATTTCTGGGATCAGAACCACCCAGCTGTTGCTCCCTTCTGTACTTGTTCCTTGCTCGGGACACAGTTTTAGGACCTCTGACCATGCCTTGCCCTCGACCCCCACCCCTACGTCCAGGTTCCCACCCTTTGGGGCAGATCCTCTCTGAAGTCCTCGTTGGATCTGTGGTCCAGCTATGGGACGTGAGTGACGGAGCTGCTATTTGGCGCTATTCTTGCATCCTGAATGAGGTCTCTGATGGATCTAGGGTCTGTGATCTTACCCTGGTCTGCAGACTCAGACAAATCCTCATTTAGTCCCTGTGCTGGAATGTCCAGCATAGCCTGTCCCCATGTCCACACAGTCCCTTTCTTTTTGTCTCCCTATGCTGATTTGGGCTGAAAAGATGACTCCCTGCGATTTTTAACTGTATTTCCTGATCAGTGTGGTCTTGTGTATTATCTGGGTCTTTGTGGACTAGCTGTGGGGGAGAGCTCCTCAGTATTGCTTCCTCCCTTTCTGTCATCGTGGCTGGTCTCAATCGTCTTCATTTCCACTTTGTATCAGGATATATAAATCTTTTTATGCTTTTCTGTGTTTTTCCTCGGGCCTGCAGAAACTGCAGCCTGTGGGCCATAAAGCCAAAGGATTTTGGGTGGCCCATGAAAAGTGTAGAGTATAGTTTCCTCTACATTTTTTGAGGTCCACTGGGAATCCTTTGGCGTGCTGTGGGCCGCAGGTTGTACAGGCCTGTTTTAGAGTGAAGTAATTAATATCTACTATATTCACAAACTACAATGTTTAGCCATTCTGCAGTAGATAGGTGTCTACTTTGTTAACAGTTCTTTGCTTCCATATAAAGTGCTTTTATGCGTATTTTGGAATATGGGTCCTTCATTTCTTTCATTGACCTCCTTGGGGCCTAGCAGTGGAATCTCTGAGTTGAAGGGTGTGGTAGGAACACTATTCTAACTCATCTCCCATGCAAGTTTGGCTAATTTTTCCTTAAAGTGTATTGAGGCTTTCCTCGTGTCTTGGTGGACTGGGTACTAGTGAGACAGACTTTTGACATCATTTTTTTGGTTGCCTGAGTTCAAAGTAGCCGTGAGGATCAAAGTAGCCGCAAGGATCTCTAGGTTATCTCTGGGGATTGGGATGTGTAATTCAGATGAGGCACTTACTTCACTCTACTTCAATTCGTTTAAGTTTCTATGCTTCTCTGTTTTCATTATATTTGGATTTTTGTTACGGCGCAATATTCCATTACAGTCATGTACTACTATTTTTTCAGTCTTTCCCCATCCAGTGGGCATCTGTTTTGTTTTCTGTTCTTTTCATAACACAAAAACTGCTGCTATAAATGGTATTTATGATGACTTTTTTTTTAAAATTTAGTCACCTCCTTAGAGTATATGCTTAGTAGTAGAATCTCTATGTCAAAGTGTATGAATATTTTATTTTACTCACTTTGCATAATTCCAAATTGTTTTCAAAATGTTTGTACTAATTCATAGCCCCACCAATAATGTATTAGAGTTCTTGTCTTAAAACCAATCCAGCATTGACTATTTTCTGTTTTTTGTCATCTTAGCCAATTTGCTGGGAGTCAGGTGTAACCTCAGAGTTGTTTCGATATGCATTTCTCTTATTAGTGATATGGAGTATTCTTTCATGTGGTTATTAATAGTTTTCATTTCTTTTTGAGAATTTTTATTTATATTCTTAGACCACTAGTCATGTTGAGAGCAGCATTATATTTTAAGTAAATATACTTCTGTGAGGAAATCTAGTAACTAGAGTGGGGAAGCATAGTGGAGAATATTTGGAGTAAGCATTACAGAAATAAACACTCTTGTCATTGATGTGGAACATAGAAGCTAGACAGAAAGATCTTTGGTAAACAAATCATAAGCCTGGACCGCAGGTGGGTGTAATGTATGGAAGACTTCAATTATCCAGGCACCTTTTAGAGTTCTCTCTGTCCAAACATAGCAATTAAATACCTTAATGAGATAAACATCATTTAACAGCAAAGAGACCAACCAAGGGTCTTACTATAAGGCTTTTATTATAAAGGTCTTATAAGGCTTTTATTCTAGAGATGAATCTTACTAACCTGAAGGAATTGATTGTTGAAGGGAACTGTGGGCAGAAAGTACTACCCCACCTTAGAATTTGAGGAGAGGAGAGAAGAGGAGAGGAAAGGAAAGCTAGTGAATGTTTGCTATACATACACCTTCATACACCTTTTTTTTTTTTTTTTGGTGAGACAATCAGGGTTAAGTGACTTGTCCAGGGTCACACAGCTAGTAAGTGTCATGTGTCTGAGGTCACATTTAAACTCAGATTCTCGTGACTCCAAGGCTGGAGCTCTATCCACTGTGCATAAACCTTCTTTTTGAGAGTGGAGATGTCAAAAGATTCAAAGAAAACACTTGTAGGATCTTCTGGCCTAAAATTCTACAAGAGGTGTCAGTCTAGAAGGAACAGAATGAAATTCTTAAGAAACAAAGGTAAACAAATAGTTCTGAAAAAAGAGGAAAAGGGAGGGTTTTGTGATGAGCTCATTGTGGATGCACCAGGATTTCATTAATCAGTTTAAAATTTTAAAAAGACATAAAAGAAAAAAGCAAGGGCCTGTGCAGAAGGACAAAAGTGACTGGGGTTGTCTTGGGAACTAGTAGGTTTAAGCTTTCTTGATGTCTTCAGGTTAAGTGTAGAATATCTGACATCAGTTGAACTAGGTGAAACAGTAAACATGGTTAAATATTGCCCCTGTGGGTGGATGTCTTATATCACATAGTGAAATCTTGGCTGTGACTTACAGATCATAAAATTTGTCTAAGTAGGCAGCTTGAAACTTAGCACCTACTCTTATTCAACTGTTCTTCTTTGATCTTTATGACTTTTGCAACCTAATTTTCCTCTCCCCTTTTTGACCTTACCAGTTTCTGACTTCTAAACCATCTAAGGCCATTTGTTTGGGCATTGGACAATATGTAGACTATGACCTGGCAACCTTATATTTTAAAGGTAATGTTTAGTTCTTTACTCTGATGGTCTCAAGTCCTAAAGCTGAAATAATGAACATTTCATAAACACAGCCCTTTAAAACTCAGGTATTAAAAATTAAAGCTAGAAGACACATAGCTCAAAATGGTACTATCACACCTATTAGTCTCTTGAAAAGTATTTTTAAAAAAATTTTTTTACCCTTGTTATAACATTGCCTCTTATCAGTATCATCTTTATACTTTTTACTTTATACTTTATACTTTTCATATTATCTTATTTTGTTTTTGCAACAGTTTTGATGTAAGCAGAGTATTTTGTTAGTACATTTTTCAGATGAGAAAGAGGCCTGGCCCAGAGGGGTTATACAGGGCCCATTAATATACAAATACTTCTTCTAAAATTTTATTTGCAAATAGCACAAGACGTTATTGATACGTTGTGGTCAGTTCCATGGTTGAGTGTAACTCGGTGCTGATGAGATATAGATGGTGTAGATGAGGCCATCCAAGCCTGTTGCTTCTTTCTGTTGTAGTTGAAACAGTAGTGACTCTTCCTCATATGTGCCCCATGATAATGCTTACAATTTCCTAAAAAGACTTAAGAAAATAGGGTGTCACACCAGCATCCTTTCAGGAACCCTCATCTGCCAGGACAATAACTTTCTCATTGATAGTTCTTTTTATTTGGCTTTATTTAAAGCCTGGGCTAAAGTTGATTGACTTCAGTTTGTAACTGAATAGTATATGTCTCTTTCAACTCTTCTTTGCTTCCCTAAATTCTACTGTGGGCAATGTATAAACTACTTTAAACTGAATCCACTTCTACTTCTAAAGTATGGTTAAATATGGGCAAGTTAGGTGTCTGGTTAGGTGGCTTTAATTGTTTTTTAAAGTTTTCAATATTTTTTTTCCTTTGAAATCTCTTTTTTTTTAGGCAACCTCCAGACTTCTGGTCAATTACCCTGAGCCTTATCGTTCCGAAATATTGGATTATTTATTTAAGGTAATGTTAAAAGAGACATTTAGTGGTTGTGTTAAGAGTTGTTTGGGAACCTTAAATTTTGAAAGTGAGGTTTTTTTTTTTTTGCCTCTTGAAATTGATTGTCATAAAAGTGACAGACATAAATTTAAATTCTGCCTTGTTTTAAATTTTGTCTTGTTTGTCTTACCTATAATATCTAGGTGATAACTTCTTAAAGTACTTTGAGCATGATGCAATGAAGGACACTGTTAATGTTGTTAATTCTTTTCCCCAGCCAAACTTTGGTGCCTCTTTGCATATTCTGAAAGTGGAAATAGGTGGTGATGGACAAACAACAGGTAAGAGCTCTGGGAAAATGGGACACTTCAGCAGTGCATTCTGTGCTTAACTTTAAAGTGCATTGTATTGGAATATAGATATCCCTACTTTTTGTCTTGGGGCAGCTAAGTGCCACAATGGATAGAGTGCCAGATCTGGTGTCAGGAAGGACCTGAGTTCAAATTTGGTCTCAGACTCTTACAAGCTTTGTGACCCTGGGCAAGTCACTTTAACCCTATTTGCCTCAGTTTCTCATCCATAAAGTAATCTGGAAAAGGAAATGGCAAACCACTCCAGTATTTTTGCCAAGAAAACCCCAAATGGAGTAATGAAGGGTCAGATATGACTGAACAACAACAAAACTTTTTGTCTTGATTGGGAAACTTATAATTTTGCTTAATTTTGTTGAAAGCTGATTTTTCCATCTTAAGAACCACAGATTGATCTTAGGTTAAGTGAAGGGAAATAATTAATGGGAAAGGACCTAAGGGGCTTTAGAGATGATAGATTATAAGTTTGGAATTTCACTGAAAAATTGAAAAAAGGGACAGCTATGATAGAAAAATGCCAAGAAAGAAAGAGGAGTCACTTAAAATCACATTTCTGATATAAACAAGTGATTTAGCACTTTAGAAAAAATAAGATAGGGGCAGCTAGATGGCGCAGTGGATAGAGCTCCGGCCCTGAAGTCAGGAGGACCTGAGTTCATATCTGGCCTCAGACCAAATACTTAACACTTACTAGCTGTGTGACCCTGGGCAAGTCACTTAACCCCAATTGCCTAAAAACAAACAAACAAAAAAAGAAAATAGTTGTAAATGAATTATACAAAATTTAAGACACCATATGCTTTTGATACTAGTTTAATACTTTTGGAACCTCAGACTTCAAATTAAAAAAATGTAGGGGACAGTTTTACAGGCTAGATCTCATCATAAGAAGCTCTGTGGGAAATTTGTTCATTTTGTAGCATGGAAATTCAATTTTGTAAGCCATTGGTGGAGACCTATAATTTTTTTGATGCACATAATTTGTTTTTGTATTTGAGAAAAATAATAAAGCACCAAAAAATTAATTGAACTATAAATCTCTCAAAAGGTGTCAGAAGGAAGTTGTATGTATATTTTCCAGCCAAAGCTTAAACTATAAATAGAACCAATCCAGATTGAGAGCTAGAAGGAACCTTAGAAATCATCTGGTCTAATCCCCTCATTTTACATATTTAGAAGTGAGGCCTAAAAATGTAAGGTGGCATATGCAAGGCAGAACTAGGACCTGAACCCCATTCTTTGTACTGCACCACACTGGCACTGAGGCTAAGAACAGCATCTCTTTCAGAGCTCCTCCCCACCTCCTCATGGCAAAGCTTGATTTAGGGACACCAAAAATGCCTCCAGATTGGGATCCAGGACAGTGAGATCCAGGACAATGGTAGCCCAGTCAAGATGTAGCAACCCATTATCTCATAGTGGGAGAGGACAAGTGGAGGAAAGCCATGTATTATGCAATGGAGATTCAACATTAAATCTCTAAAGCGAGGAGAGAGAAAAGACACCAGTTTTCACTGAGTTAAAAACTGAAATCTTTTGCTTGTGCCAAGAAATTCAAAGGTCACAAGTTCCTTCCTTAGCAACCATAATATAACCATTTAGTATGTAATAGTTGTCATTTCCAAACTGAAAGTAAACCATGTTGTATATATGAATACAAAGTGACCCACATGCCTGCTACCCACTCTTGAGGCAATTAGGTAGACATAAGGCTTTTTATGCTCAGGTTAGAACCTAGTCAGAACTACAGACTCCTTCCCGAAACTGTAACCTGCTACCTACGGAACAAAAAGTCTACACTGAAAGAGGAGGAGGATAGGTTAAGCCACTGCTTCTACCCATTTCCCACCTGCCATCCAGCCTGACACTAGCCATGTGGCCAAAAGCCAAAACAAGTATGGCCCAGACAGCCCTTGGAGGTCTCTGGTGGTCTTTTAACATGTTACTTATCAAAATGAGATGAATAGTGGACTGCATGTATAACCCTATTTCAAAATTCATTGCTTCTTTTTCAGTTAACAAAGACAGGTTTATAGAATGAGAGCAAACATGGAAAGCTGTGTAAAATAAAGTCTTTAAGGGCTGGCTGGAATCCATCTGAAGTATTAAGTGCTTGCTACCTTTTGGTTTTTTTTTTCTTTATATTCTTCTAGTCTTCCCCAAATAATCACAGCCTAAAAGACCATTAGGAACTCTGAACTGAAGCCCATACAGGATGTAAAGGATTGTTTTTTTCACTATAATCTGAAAATTGAAGCTGAAAGCTGAGAAAGATCAAAATTCATATGAAGAGAATAAAAATGGAATTAGGGCTGTGCCCCAGTTGAAATGAGAAAGGCCAGGAGCAACACTTCAGAGATTTCACATTGTGTGATAAGAATAGTTCCTATAACATAATGCTTACATACCGTAAGTTTGTAATTTTTGGATGACCACATTATCATGCTCTATGATGATATGAATTCAGTTCTGTTCCCCTAGTGAATGTGACCACTGTCCTTGTTGAAATACAAAGTTTAGAGAGGACATAGTCCCTGCCCCATGGGAACTAATAGTCCAGGGGACGAAATGTGATTGTGTGCTATAGTTTTCCAAGTATCTTGTTATTTGACCTTCATTCCCGAAGACAAGAAGTGCAAAAGGTACTTTGGGTCCTGAGGGAGAAGGTCCTTGCCTGTTTAGAGAAAGAGGAAAGTTTCTTGGGGGAAGTGGCATTTGGGTAGGGAAACACTAGCTGTGTGACCCTAGGCAAGTTACTTGATCTCTATTTTACTCAATTTCTTCATTTGTAAAATAGGGATAATAATAGTATCTGCCTTCCAGGGTAGTTGTGAGGCCAGCCCATCAGAGTTACTTTCTCGGAAGTACAGTTTGAATTCTTGGCAGTTTAGCTCAAGGAAGGACCTCAGTGTCTGGTACTTTATCCTGCTAGGTGATCTTCAGAGTCTTCCTAAGACAGTTCAAATGGAAGCAATTCAGTTTCCTGGCCTGGTGCTGGTAGACTGTCTAGGGTTCACAGGCATACAACAGTGAGGGGTCAGCACAGTGGCTCGGTAGACCTTCGGTTTAGTAGGCAGTCTAATACTTCTCTCCCATACTTTCTTTTGGAGCCTCCCAAATACTGAGCTAGCTCTGGCAATGCATGAATCAATCTCATCCTCTTTGTGTACATCCCTGGGAAGTATACTGCCAAGGTAAGTGGACTTGTTATCCACAGTGTTCGAAATTTCTCTGTTTGCTGTATTTGATGATTCCACTTAAGGATGGTGTGGTGCTGGCTAGTGGAGAAATTGTGTTTTCTTGGTGTTAATTATTGGGCCAAAATTAGCACAAGCAGTATAGAATGGATCCATACTTTGTTGCGTCTCAGCTTCAGAGGCTGCATTGAGTGCATCTGTGAAGAAAGAAATCGTGTACCAACTGTCTCTCTACCTTAGTCTTGGCTTCTTCATTTTTACAGTATTAATGTTCTAAAAGTCTGGGTTGGGACTGATTGAGGATAGAAAAAAGGTAGAGGACATTCCAGGCAAAGCAAACTTCATGAGCGCAGATGTGGAAGTAGGAGAGTGTAGGGCAAATTTTAATGACAGTAGGCTTTAAATACTTCTCATGTGCAGATTATTTAATTTCAAGGAAAAGATATTAAATTTAATTAATTTATATTAATACATTTAATTAAATTTAATAATACTTTGGGCATTAAAGAAATCCTACTATAAAGTTATTCTCTGATTCCAGGTTTGAACTGGGAATACTGTTTCTTAGAAGTGTGTATTTGGACAAATGTAGCATAGTTTGAAGTGCTGTGAACTAAAAACTTCCTTCCCTTTTTCCCCTCTGTCTTATTTAGATGGCACTGAGCCCTCTCATATGCACTATGCAGATGACAAGAACTATTTCCGGGGTTATGAATGGTGGCTAATGAAGGAAGCTAAGAAGAGGAATCCCAATATTAAACTTGTTGGTAAGAATTTTAACTTTTGATTCTCTTTCAGAGCCAGTCTATGATCCATTACTTTATAATGGCATTATTCTTTATTTTTTGAAGTTGAGTTTGATTTTGGAAATCAAACAAAGGTCATTTGGAATCATGTCTAATAATAATAACTCACTCATTCACTGGAGATGGCCTGGGTAATTTCTGAAGTGAAGTTTCTCAAAACATAAATTTTTTAAATTTTTGGTTAGGCAGTGGGGTTAAGTGACTTGCCCAGGGTCACACAGCTAGTAAATGTTATGTGTCTGAGACTGGATTTGAACTCAGGTCCTCCTGACTCCAGGCCCAGCACTCTATCCGCTGCACCACCTAGCTGCCCCCCAAAACATAAAAATTAATGTCAATATTTTTTCTAGAACAGACACATGGCATTTATTTAGAGTATATTTCATAAACTCAGAATAGTTATAGAAGAGGACTTCCAACAGTGCTGTGAAAAATTACAGCTCAGAGGGCTGTACTATGGGTGAAGCACAAAGAGTCCACATGAACTTTTGGGGTAGGTATGTCCCTAAATTTGCTCAACTTCTGTTTCTTTTGAGCTACTGAAATTCTACTTTGCTCATGGATCATAGAGCCTTCTTTGTTGTGGGAATGCCCTACTGTGTAGTCCTTTGCTAGCATCTCCAATGTCATGCAATTGATTCCAGAATTCTTTAGAGAGACCTTGAAAGTGTCCTTATATCACTTCCTCTGACCACCATGTGACACTTTCCTTGCATGAGTTTTCCATAAAATATTCTTTTAGGCCAACATAAATTTGGCATTTGAACAACGTGGTAGTTGTGAGGATCAAATGAGCTAAAAATTATTAAGTGCTTATTTATTTAGCATAATGCCTAGCACATAGAAAGTGCTATATAAATATTAGCTGTTATTATTATTGTTATTTTTTAAATGTCATTTAAAAAAAGTTTTACTGATTTCTTTTTGTTTTTACATTATATTTACAGATTACTCATCTTGTGAGAGGTCTCTGGTAACAAAATAAAAGTTAAGTAAAACTAATAATATAGTGACCTCATATAAAAGTACACAGTGCAATATTCCACATCTGTAGCACTCCCCATTTCTGAAAAAAAAGTTAACAGAAATTTATTTTTTCTTCTTTTCACATTCACACCCCTACCGCACTGGAAAAAAAGGGAAAAAACAATAGTCCTTATAAGAAACGTATGTAGTGAAGTAAAGCAAATTCCCTTAATGGCTGTATACACACCCATACCCACACCCACACACCTACACCCATACACAAACACCCAGACAGATTTTCTAAACCTGAAGTTGAATGTTGGCAATAAATCAGTAGAAACTCACCAAAAGATCATTAGATGATTATTGTATTACTATATAGAGGGACTGATATTTATACATACATATATATACAACTTGAGGTTTAGAATTAGATAGATCTGACCAAACTCTTAAAATATTCCCCTTTGTCCTTTGAAGCAGTAGGCACATTTCCTAAATGTGTTTTTTTTTTAATCCAATAAATTTAAATCAGGGACAGCTAGGTGGCGCAGTGGATAGAGCACCCGCCCTGAAGTCAGGAGGACCTGAGTTCAAATCTGGCCTCAGACCAAACGCTTGACACTTACTAGCTGTGTGACCCTGGGCAAGTCACTTAACCCCGATTGCCTAAAAAAAGAAAAGAAAAAATAAATTCAAATCAGTAAACATTTATTAAGTGCCTTCTCTATACCAGGCACTGTGCTAATCACTGGAGATACGAATAAAAAAAAGAAATACAATTCCTGCCCTTAAAAGAGTTTACAGTCTAATGGGGGGAGACAGTAGACAAAAGGAAGCTGAAAAGGGGGAGGAACTCTAGGGGGTACCAGAATGGGGTGCGATGTTCCATGGACTGAAAACCAAGCAGAGCCACTGATGGAAAACAGAGAGTTACCTGGAAGGTTCTGAGCCTGCTGTGAAGAAGGCTTTGGGAGGAAGTTTAGTGCCCCACCCTCCCAACTGCCATCAGAATGGAGGGGCAGCTGAGGGAGCAGGGAAGGTGTTGGGCATCAAATGAAGTTTTATTCTCCACTTAGAAAAATACTTAGCTCTTAGGATTATTACTGGAAAAGAGCATGGATGCCAGTCCCATCTATGATGTTCGCCAGATGAGAATATGTTCCCTGATTTTGTGTGTGTGTGTGTGTGTGTGTGTGTGTGTGTGTGTGTGTGTGTGTGTGTAACTAAGCGTCACATTTGATGTTTTTTAGACTTGATCTGTTAACTTAGGCTTTTATGCTTTGATTATCTCTTTCTTTAGGGTTACCCTGGTCATTTCCTGGTTGGATAGGTGATGGTCAAAACTGGCCCTATGTCATGCCTCATGTTACTGCTTTGTATGTCGTGAGCTGGATTTTGGGTGCTAAACAATATCATGATTTGGATATCGATTACATTGGGGTTAGTAATATTTAAAGTACCTTTGTTTATTTAAGCCTTTCATCTTTAGTTAACCTCTATATTTAGACCCTATTTGTATTCTGTTGTGTAACTGGTCTTCCTTGTCATAAGGCTAATTTTTTCCCTTGGTGGTTGATAGTGATATAAAATTGCCTTTATTTTTCTTGAAGTGCCATCCACTTTCCTTTCTGCATTTACATATCAGTCAGTCATAAATGGGATTGGGACACCGGGGAGCCATGTTCTAGTCCTGTTCTTGACACTAAGTAACTGTGAGACTTTGGGCAAGTTACTTAGCCTCTGGACCTCTACTCCCTCCTCTGTAAAAGAGGGGGCATGTATTTGTTTGCTAGGGTGCATTTGAAATTCTGTGATTATCTAATTGCAATGGATTTTGCTCATATTCCCTGTTCCTATCCCTCCTGTGGCCATTTAAGTGTTTGATTTTTCTGTTTGGCTCATTATTACATTTTTTGGTAACCATTTAGCAGGTTGCTATGCAGTTTTCTGACTCATTCTGACCTGGTCTCCAGAATGTAGACCTGTGATTAATTTTCTTAACCTGTTGTCTTGGGAATTTTCTTTTGATTTTTCCCCCCCTGGATTCTAGTAAATTGTGCAATAAATATTTAATTCCTTTAAAACAATGGTGAGGTTTTTTTTTTAAGGGCACCCTGGTGCCATATAAACCACAAATATATGAATTCCCTAAGGAGGGAAAAGCGACAGTCACATAATTTGAAACATGGGAAGGGGATAGTAGCATTTATTATGGTTCTTGTTTTACATTCAGACTTTTATATTTCAACCTTATTTAAAAATTTATGTTTTGTTTTGTAGATTTGGAACGAGAGAGCATTTGACAGTGAATATGTAAAGGTTTGTAGCACCTTGAAAAGCTTTGTTTCTGTACCATTGTTGGCAGAAAAAAAATTTATGATCCCACTGAAATTAAAGCTGTGGCAACACCAAAATATTTATTTTGTTGCTTGTAACATTATTGCATAAAATCTCCTTTCATCTTGGTGTTTTAGCATTTGTTTCATGTCATAATAACAAGTTAACTCCAAAGATGACAAAGTAATTTTTCGGCCATTTTGTACCATTCCTGGTATAATTCAGTAAAGATTTTTTTTTTGAAGTAGGAATTTTTTAGGAAGGGAAGCAGGGATAGGAAATAGAAGCTGTCTAGACTTAGGATTGCATTAATGTAAGGAGCTTCCTGTGAGGCATCTTTCTCTATCCATGCACATTGGATCCTTTCTGCAGCTTAAGGTCTTAGAGAGCTGCCTGGGGACTCAGAGATTTAATGCCTTGTCCTGAGTCACACAGCAGGAAGGAACTCAGGTCTTTCTGACTCTCAAGTCATTTCTCACTACTCTTTTCCCAGAGGAATTATTTCCATTTGCAAAACCATCCTCAGTATTGAGTTTTTGAACACTTGTAAGTTTTTGTTTATAGGAAACATGTCACTTTAAAAGCTTATAGCAGAAGACTAAAAGATAGTGGATAAGCTGTCCATCAGAAGGCAGAGATGAAAACAAACTTAGAATCTAGTCTGACTTTGAAATAAAGGAAAAAAGGGGTGTGAGTTGGAAGACTACTGAGACATTTCTCTTTACCAAAATTTAAATTAAACACTTTTATTTAATGTTATTACCTAAGAGATAGGGTTTTTTTTTATGTTACCGCTTTTTGTTTACTAGCTGTATTCATAGAGATGTCACCGAATTGTTATATTTTCCCTTTTGACTTGGGGAAGGAGGAACTTGGTTTTGAAATTCTGGTTTAGAGCTAATATCAGAACCCTGTTATCATGAAGTTAGAAAACTTTAGGAAAAAAACCCCTGAAACATCTCTACTGAGCATAGTATTTAAAATGTGAATTTTTTCCCTTCTATCCAACATTTCAGACTCCATTTGTAATCACTTTGTTTTCCTTTGCAGTGTTCAGCATGTTTGTTAACTCTTGTATTATAGTTCTTTTTGTGATCAATTCATAGATACTCATACGTTTTGTAGATACTAATGTCATTTTCATAATCATTGGAAAATATATGGTGGTTTATAGTTTAGGATGAGGTAGGTTATGGTTATTTTTATTATGTTTCTCATTTTGGGGGAATCTACTTCATTGAATTCTAGAGTTTCTTCATTAAAAATAATAACAACAATAAAAAACTAGCATTTATATAGAGCTTTGAGGTTGGCAAAATACTTTACAAATATTTCCTCATTTTATCCTAGAAAGAAGTGAGACAGGTGTTATTATTCTCTCCATTTTACAGATGAGGAAACTGAGACATACAGTGCTTAAATGACTGTCCTGGGATCAGACAGCTAGAAAGGGTTAAGGTGGAATTTGAACTCAGGTCTTCCTCACTTCAGGCCCAGTGCTCTATTTACTGCCATATAAAGGAAGACGTATATCCTCTCTTGAGGACTTATAGAAGGTCATGGGCCAGAACTGCACAGTATGATAAGGCATGGATTAAACTGATTTGCACTGGATATAGAGAGTACTTATACCAGTGAGATCATGAGTCTTTTGGAATTACTGAAGTCATTGATTTTATCTTAAAACTTCAGTAGTTTTTTTTTCTCTCATGCTAGCTTAATAATGCTGATGCAAATAAATTGTGTTTGTGTTGTGATAGAACTTCAATTGTTTCTTAAAAAAATGTATGAAGCAGGTTGATATAATCGATAGAATACTGGACAGGAAGACAGAAAGACCTGAGTTCTAATCTCTTTTCAGACATTTAGTAACTATGTGACCCTGGACAAGCCCATTGAACTTCTGAGCTTTAGTTACTGAATCTATAAAATGAATGAGATGACCTCTAAGGTGCTCCATCTCTAAATCTGTTATCCAAGTACTAGATGAAATGCAACATGGCGTGGTGGATAGAAAACTGGCATCTACTGTAGGAAAGCTTGAGTTCAAATCTTGATTCTGTTACATCCTGGCTGTGTGACCCTGGGAAAATCATTTAATGCCTCCATGCTCTAGGAAGCTCTTTAAGACTAAATTGCAGAGTAGGTCTCATGATCCTGCCTCTGGTTCTTTGGTACTTGAATTCTCTCTGTCTAATTGCAGTGTTTTTTCTTTGACTTAGAAGCTTCAGACTTTGGCTATAACATTCTAGGTATCTTCATTTTGGGATTTCTTTTAAGAAGTGGTGGGTGGATTCTTTCTAGTAGCCATCTGGTTTTAATAGATCTGGGCAATTTTCTTTTATGTGTTCCTAAAATATGGTGTCAGAGTTTTGTTTTGTTGTTGTTGTTGTTTGGTCATGGTTTTCAGAGATTCTGATGATTCTGAAGTGATCGTTTCCAGGGAAATTTCAGTTTCCTCTATTTTTCCTTGTTTTGATTTTGTTCTAATATTTCTTGTTGTCTTACAATTTTTTTTTCTGAGCTACCCATTTAATTTCTAATTTCATTTTTAAACATCTCGTTTCCTTTCTACTAGCCATTCTTGTAGTCTGTGTGGCCATGCCATTTTTTTCCCTCTAGGTACTGTTTATAGTTGTTGTGGGGCTGCTTTCTTCTTCTGGATTGATCTTTTGGTCTTTTCCTGACAGATTTCAGCCTCAGTTCTTGACAGATTTGAATTCATGAAGATGAGTCTTCCTGACTCCACACACAGCACTTCAGCCACTTCACCATCTAGCTGCTGTATAAATGTTGGCTATTATTATTAATAGCAAAAATTGTGAATTATAATAAATTACTAATAGTTAATAGTTATTGCTATTAATGTGCTAGTTTTTCTTTCTTAAATGCTTGAGAGTAGAGATCACACTTTTTACTTTGTATCCCCCCAAAATCCTTAATATCACCTGTGTATCTATCACTATTCTTTTTTCTCAATTATTTTGTTTTTTTCAATTACCTGTAAAAAGTTTTTAACAGTTTTTTTTTTAACTTTGAATTCCAAATTCTCTCCCCCGTCTTCTCCCCCATCATTGAGAAGGCAAGCAATTTGATATAGGCTATACTTGTCTAGCACCATTCTTGATTGCCAGTATAATTCAATTTGCTATTAACACCTGTAACTGTCTGATCTACAAATAGATGTTATTCTTTGTCTTTTTTTAGTAACAGTAAGAACAGCATTTTCTACCTTCAGTATAATACAAAATGATTTTTCTTCTAAGAATGTTAGTATCTTTAGACCAATCTTTTTCATCTTTGGATTTTTTTCGTCACATTGTATAGATTCATTTTAAAGTAATTGCATTACTTATCTTTTAAGGTAATGTCGCACTGAGGCTTAAAATTAAAATTTCTTGTATAAGTCTGTGCACATAAATGAGATGTTTAAAGTATCTTTTCTTTTCTCATCCCTTAGCCCTGCCTTGAACCATCTCTTACAATTTAAAAGGAAAGGGGGGTGGGGTGGAAAGTAGTTCAGCCTAACTACTTATCACAACAACCAAATCTGACAATCCATGCCATATCGCACATCTGTAGTCCCCCAACTTTATAGTGAAGGGAAGAAGTTACAATTTCCTCAACTTTCCCTTGGGGTCAAGCTTGGCAATTGCACAGTGTTCAGTTGTGGTTTTGTTTTTACCCCTTTGTTGTAATCACTATGTATTGTTTGATTGGTTTTTCTTTGTTCTTCGTTTATATGTGTCTTTCCATGAATTCTTCTTGTTCATTATTTCTTACCCTGTAGCAATATTCCATTGTATTCATGTACTACAATTTGTTTAGCCATTCCCTGGTCAATGAATACCAGCTTTTTTTTTTTAAGTTCTTTGCTGCTACAAGGAGGATGCTCTGAAAATTTTTTGTGTCTATGGGACCTTCTTTCCTGCCTTTGACCTCCTTGGGGTATATTGCCTAATGGCAGGATCACTGAACTGAGAGATTTGGACTTTTTAGTCATATTAGGCTGTTACTCTTTTTTTAAAAAAATAATAAATCATTAGCTATTTCTAAGAGTCACTTAACTAGATTGAAAATCTGTTCACTGTTTTTGCTTGTTGTTTTGTTACATGTGTGGTTTTTTCTTCTTTAAAGGTATTAAGAAAAATACTTTATCAGTATGGCCTGAACAGAGTGAAGATCATAGCCAGTGATTACCTCTGGCAGCCCATTTCCTTTTCTATGTTACATGATCGTGAACTCATGGAAGCCATTGATGTTATCGGGTAGGAAATACTTCAGACTAGTTATTTTCTGTGTTTGCCCTATGCATTATGAGTTTATTTCTTTTCCGGATGAGATTGTATCTTTACAGTTCTCATCTGTTTCCTTTAATTAAGTATACTTTTGATAAGACATCTACACCAGATGGATTGGTGCTTTTTTTTTTTAACACATTAATATTATTTTTAGCTCTTTTTGTCATAGCATAAGTATAGGTAAAAAGTTTTTGAGAATTTGTAAATCCGTGGAAGGTTTGGAGTCTGGTAGAAAGAAATCTAGTTCATTAATATTAGAAACAGATCTGTATTAAGGTATATGGCAGGAATCCATCATCAGGTACTATAAAGTTGTTGTTATTAGGTGAAATTACCTTCCTTTGATGTAATACCTTGAGTCTATCTGGATTCACAATCTTGCCTTGATTTAATTTTAGGTTTTTTTTTTTAACCCCCAGCCCTTATTCACTAGTTACTCTTTTCCTTATTATTTAGCTCTTTAATCCCAGTTTTAAATCTTAGCATTTTCAAGCTAGAAGTGTCCTTAGTCAGCCCAACCATCTCATTTTATAAATGTCAGCACAGTGCCTAGCACTTAGTAAGCACTTAATATTATTGTATAATATAATATTATTATAATATTGTTGAGTGATTGTTGACTGACAAATGGGAAAACATTAAATGCCTACTCTGTATAGAAAACAGTGCTAGTTTCTGGGGGAGATATGAAAATTGAAAAAAAAGTTTTCATTAATTAACAAGATTTATTTAGTGATTGCTATGATCTGGGTACCATGCTAGGTGCCAGGGATACAAAGACAAAAAAGAAAGAATCTCTGCCCTGAAGGAGCCTTTATCCTGTCAGGGAAGAAACAAGGTTACATAAATAAATAAAAACCAAATACAAGCGAAGAGGTCTTTTTTAGGGGGAGAGGGGATGCTAACAGCCAGATAGGGCATTAGGAGAAGCTTTAATATGAGAGAAATTATTATTATTTTTTTATTAATTTATTTTGATTTATCAACAATCACTTCCATATGCTTTTGAGTTGAAAAATTTTCTCCCCCTTCCTCCGCCCCATCCTCCCCAAGACGGCGCACAATCTGATATAGGCTTTACATTTACATACCCATTAAACATATTTTCACATCAGTGAAGTTGTAAGTACAAATTAAAACCAATAGGAGGAACCATCAGAAAGATGAAACAAAACTCAACAGAAGGTAAAAAAAGTGGTAGTGTTTCGACTTCCATAGTTCTTTCTTTGGATGTGGACAGCATTTTCCATCCTGAGGCCTCTGGAGATGTCTTAGATCCTCGTAATGCTGAGAAGGGTTCAGTTTAGCAATATTAGTCATTGCATAACATGGCTGTTATTGTGTACAAAGTCCTCTTGGTTCTGCTCACTTCACTCAGCATCAGACCATATAAGTCTTCCCAGGTTTTTCTGAAGTCAGCCTGTTCATCATTTCTCATAGCACAATAGTATTCCATTACATTCATATACCACAACTTGCTCAGCCATTCCCCAATTGATGGGCATCCTCTCAATTTCCAAGTCTTTGCCACCACAAAAAGAGCTGCTATGAATATTTTTGTACATGTGGGTCCTTTTCCCATTTGTATGATCTCTTTGGGATACAGCCCTAGAAGTGCTATTGCTGGATCAAAGGGTATGCACATTGTTGTAGCCCTTTGGGTGTAGTTCCAAATTATTCTCCAAAATGGTTGGATCATTTCACAACTCCACCAACAATGCATTAGTGTTCCAGTTTTCCCACATCCTCTCCAACATTTATCATTTTCCTGTTTTGTCATGTTGGCCTGTCTGATAGGTATGATGTGCTACCTCAGAGTTGTTTTGATTTGCAGAGAGAAATTATTTTTCTATTATATTTATGACCTATTACGTTAAGATCCAGGCCTTTTCCTTTATTTCCTCATTTAAGGCCCAGCCCCTGTAAAAAGTCAGCTTCTAAAAGACATGCCTGATCAATGAGATCATTCTTAGTTCTCAGGTCACATGGTCTTGGTCAGGGTCCCACTCAGCTGCTTCTGTTTTGGAGTGTACACGGAATCCAGTCTGGACCAGTTCTTACCCCGAGGGAAAGAAATCCTGTTGTCGGACCCCTCCCTTCGATTTTAGGGTGACCCAGCTCATGAAGGAGAAAACCGGCCAGGGTGGTCTGGATCGAGACGGATTCCTCTGTCTCCAGATTCCTGGAGGTGACTGAGTCTCATGATCAAGCCGCATTCTCAGCAGGAAGAATTGAAGACTTCTAGCTCGCCTCCTCATTAAATGTTCACCAGTCAGGGTTGATTTTCAGTTGTCAAGGGAATTCCTTTCAAGGGTTATTTAAAGCTTTCAGGCTCTCCATGTCTTTTGTCTTTGATTACTGAGAGAAACCACTGACCATCAATATATTGATTATTAGCTAGCCTAATTAATAAATTGATTATTAATTACCCGGCAGCTCTGTTTCATGGAGTTTTTGCATTTGTCACAAATAGAAGGTGCAGGAACAGAGAACAGAAGATTCTAAGAGGAGAGGTGATGTGGGAGAGGATTCTAGGCTAGGAGGAGAGCCCACTTCAAAGGTGCAGAGATTAGAGATGGAGCATTGTGTATGAAGGACAGCAAGAAGACAAGTTTGCCTGGACGGTACAGTGTGTGGAGGGGAATAATGATGTTGGAAAGGTAGGTTGATACCAAGTTATGAGAGGCTTTAAAAAGCTAAACAGAAGAGTTTATATTTGATCCTAGAGTTAGTATGGAGACACTGGAGTTTATTGAGAAAGGAATTGACATGGTTAGATCTGGACTTTTGGAGTATCACTTTGGAAGTTCTCTAGAGCAGAGGTGTCAAACTCATAATCCAGTGCAATATAGATAATAGTAATTTGTGGGGTTTTTTTTCCAGCCAGTATGCAGTTCAGGATCTGTTTCTGTTTGAGTTTGACACCACTGCTCTAGGTTAGAGAGAGAGACTTGAGGCAGGGATGTCAATTATGAGGCTATTGCAATAGTCCAGGTAGGGATTGATAAAGTCCTAAACTAGGGTGGTGTCCAGGTGAGTAGAGAGAAAGAAATGGCTACAAGAGATGTTGTGACAGTAGAAATGACACGAATTGGCAACTGATAAGTAAAGTGAGAGGAAGGAGAGTGAGGATTTAAGTATGATAATCCTAATGTCATAAACCTTGGAGACTGAAAAAATGGTCGTGCTCTTGACAGAAATAGGAAAATTCTTAACAGGTATGAATTTGGGAAGAAAGGTAATGAGCTCTGTGTTAGTCGCGTGGAGTTTGATGTGCCTAGACTACATCCATTTAGAAATCTCTGAGAGGCGTGGAGATCAGGAGAGAGTACATAGGTCTGCATAGAGATGATGCCATGGGAGCTGATGAGGTCACCCAAGTACATGCATAAAAAGAAAGAATAGAGAGAGCCCAGGATCCAGCCTTGGTGTACATCACGGTTTAGGGGGTGATAAGGATAAAGATCTAGCAGAGGAGACTGAGGAACAGTTAAACAGATAGGAAGAGAACCTAGGGAAACCAGTGTCACAAAAACCCAGGGAGATAGTGACCAGGAGGAGAAGGTAGTCAGTAGTGTGATGCTACAGAGAAATCATGAAAGATGTGGATTGATAAAAAAGCCGTTAGATTTGACAATAAAAAGATCATTGGTAACTTTGGAGAGAAAAGTTTCAGTTGAGTCTTGGAAGCCAGATTATAGAGGGTTGAAAGGAAGTAGAAACAGCGGGTGTAGATAGCTACTTAATGGGTACTTTGGCTGAGAAGAGGAGTAGAGATATAGAAAGATAGTTTAAAGGGATGGTAGGTCAAGTGAGGGTTTTTTTCAGGATGATGACCTTTGGATGTCTTTGTAGGCAGCAGGGAAGAAATTTGTTGATAAAGACCAATTGAAGATTAGAGAGAGGGAGAGACGATGATTTTGTGGGCTGTATGCTGGAGAGCATGTAGTGGGGACAGGATCAGGGTCACATGTTGCCTTTTATGAGGGCAGGAATCACCTCTTCATCAGACTCTGGTGGAGGAGGATAAGGTGAGACTTGATGTTAGAAGCATTGTGAGATATGGAGAAGGGGAGAAAAGGGAGCTCATGGCAAATGGTCTTTATTTTCTTAGTCATGGAAGGGAGGCTGGAGAGAAGAGGGGAATTCAAGACAGCCTCTGCAGCGTGGGATAGAAAATAAATCAGGAGGGAATAAAAGGATTGTCTTGTGCTGCATGCCCCACTGAGAGCAAAACATCTGTAGTAGACGGAATTAGTTTGGTTGTGTGATTTCTTCAAGCTTGTTCAGGAGCTTGTGAGTAGAAGCTGAAGGGTTGAACTGAGTTTGAAGAAAGAAGATAATTTTATGAGGGAGAAGGGAAGAGGAAGAGCATTCCAGCTATGCGACACACAGTGCAAAGAAACAATGCATGGGAGGTGGAGTGCTGAGTGTGAGGAACGTCGAGAAATCCCTTTTAGCTGGACTGTAGAGTCTGTGATAGGCCTGGAGACCGGTGTGTGATGAGGCTGGAAAGCTGAGCTGGAGCAAGGTTGTAAAGGACTTCCAAAATCCAAGCTGACTTTATATTCAATCCTAGATATAATGGAGATGCCACTGCAGTTTGAATAGAGGAATGATATGGTCAGATCTGTTCTTGAGGAAAAATCACCTGAGGAAAATGGAAGGAATGCAGAAGAGGAAAGATGGAACAGAGTATGAGGCCTGAGGAAGGAAAAGTGTTAGGAGGTCATTGTAGTAGTCCAGGCAAGAGACAATGACGGCACTGTGGCACTGTGAGTAGAAGAGGACAGATGAAGAGATTCTGTGGAAGTAGAAATGGCAGATAGCAAAATAATGGACTATTCACCAGCGTACTTTGTGCTGGGCTATGAGTGTCAGAAGCTCATGGTGAGAGAAATGGAGAAATTGAGCATGGAGATGATTTTATTTGTTAGAGGTGATATGAAATAGTTGTTGATAAATTG